GCCTAGTACATGAGTTACATAACATGCATAAACCAAACACATATAAGACAAACTACGGTAAGTAGGTGTCTCGATAATGCCTTGCTCTGAATGCCCTTTATAAGGAACAAAACAGACATCTTAAGCTGTTTTATGAAAGATGGTGATTCAAGTATAAAAATATAATGTCGGTGCGTGGTGTATGATCGCCACTGAGCGTATATGTGTGATCGCAGAGAAAAGTTTTAGTGTCACACTCCGCGGTCGGTAAATATCGGTCCCACTCTTAATAAAGACTTGCTAGGCTTTTAATCTCATTCCCGGACCTACAGCCTTAACGTCTGATCCTGGGTCTACAGTCTCGAGGTCTGATCCCCGGGTCTACAAGCTCAAAGTCTGATCCCCGGGTCTACAAGTTCAAAGTCTGATCCTCGGGTCTACAGTCTCCATGTCTGATCATCGGGGTTTCCAAGCCCAAAGTCTGATTCCCGGGTCTACAGTCTCTAAGTCTGGTCCTCGGGTCTACAGTCTCCATGTCTGATCATCGGGGTTTCCAAGCCCAAAGTCTGATCCCCGGGTGTACAGTCTCTAAGTCTGGTCCTCGGGTCTACAGTCTCTAAGTCTGATCCCCGGGTGTACAAGTTCAAAGTCTGATCCCCGGGTCTACAGTCTCTAAGTCTGATCCCCGGGTCTACAAATTCAAAGTCTGATGCCAGGTCTACAGTCTCTAAGTCTGTTCCCCGGGTGTACAAGTTCAAAGTCTGATCCCCGGGTCTACAAACTCAAAGTCTGATGCCAGGTCTACAGTCTCCATGTCTGATCATCGGGGTTTCCAAGCTCAAAGTCTGGTTCCCAGGTCTACAATCTCTAAGTCTGATCCCCGGGTGTACAGTCTCTAAGTCTGGTCCCCGGGTCTACAGTCTCTAAGTCTGATCCCCGGGTCTACAAACTCAAAGTCTGATGCCAGGTCTACAGTTTCTAAGTCTGATCCTCGGGTGTACAAGTTCAAAGTCTGATCCCCAGGTCTACAAGCTCTAAGTCTGATCCCCAGGTCTCTAGTCTCTAAGTCTGATCCCCGGGTCTACAAACTCAAAGTCTGATCCCCGGGTCTACAAGCTCTAAGTCTGATCCCCAGGTCTACAGTCTCTAAGTCTGATCCCCGGGTCTACAAACTCAAAGTCTGATGCCAGTTCTACAGTTTCTAAGTCTGATCCTTGGGTGTACAAGTTCAAAGTCTGATCCCCAGGTCTACAAGCTCTAAGTCTGATCCCCATGTCTACAAGCTCTAAGTCTGATCCCCGGGTCTACAAGCTCTAAGTCTGATCCCCGGGTGTACAAGTTCTAAGTCTGATCCCCGGGTCTACAGTCTCTAAGTCTGATCCCCGGGTCTACAGTCTCTAAGTCTGATCCCCGGGTCTACAGTCTCTAAGTCTGATCCCCGGGTCTACATACTCTAAGTCTGATCCCCGGGTCTACAAGCTCTAAGTCTGATCCCCGGGTCTACAAACTCTAAGTCTGATCCCCGGGTCTACAAGCTCAAAGTCTGATCCTAGGACTGCAGTCTCTAACTTGTTTTTGTTCCTTTGGTCTACGTGCCCTAAGACTGATCACTGGGTGTTCGAACTCCCAAGTATCTTGTACAGGAGATCTCCTTTAATGAAATCATTCTTCAGGGACGCTTTTATTTATAAATATTGTGCTATAATTGGTCGGGATCAGATTCTCTGTAATTTTGTCATGGGTTACCCTATTTCTCTGAGGTACCCAGGAATGTCGTGAGATGAAGAACAATCAATTTTGACATATTTGAAAAATTCTCTCGCAGTCATTTTCAGACACATAAAACAGGGATTTGGAACCATCACTACTCATTTGCCTGAAGTATCAATTTCTACTGTATCTTGCTATTCACTTAACTGTGACATCATTCCATTGTTTGCTCCGGTAGCGAAAGTGACAGATGCTGGGTATGATCCATGTTCCTGACTTCAAACAATAGCTATCAACTTCAAATGACATAACAGGACCGTATGTTGGTGTTGTACTAAAGAAAATAATACTGGGCATTGCGGGTCTTCCATCAATTAGACTAAACAGGACATGGGTTATACATAAAATCATGTAATATATCATATTTATATATGCATATATATATAAGGCCAATTCACATACAACCCTATACTACAGGACATGGGTTATTCATAAAATCCAGCAATTTAGGTTAATTTACCTACAACCCTATAATATAGGACATGGGTTATTCATAAAATCCAGCATTATAGGTTAATTTACCTACAACCCTATAATATAGGACATGGGTTATTCATAAAATCCAGCAATTTAGGTTAATTTACCTACAACCCTATACTGTAGGACATGGGTTATTCACAAAATCCACCAATATTGGTTAATTTACCTACAAACCTGTAATATAGGACATGGGTTAAAACATAAAACAATGGTAGTTATACAATGCCCTGTATGATAGAGAGTGAATCAACATACCCTGTAATACAACACATCAGTTATCACAAACAACCCTGTAAAATACACGTGTAACATGAGTCATTACAACAAGACGGCCATATCCCATAATGTTAATCTGACAATGGACGAATGGACGGACAGACGTCAGAATTTTCTGATGGTAGCCTAACAGATCTAATGAATTCAAATTTTGAACATTCCTAGAAGTATCAGAAAGTCATAAATGGTAGGTCCTGTTCATGATAAACAGTTGCACAACCATGTTACAAAATGTCTACTGTAATTACCATGTCGAAGTTTTGATTTGGCTGAAAAATAACAGCATATCATCTGTTTCTTTTCTAACAAATTAAATTCTAAGTATTTTTCTCAGTGATGTGAATGCAACTTCAGAAGGAATTCATACTATTTCTTCAGAACGAATCATGTTCGGTTTGGATCAAACCAACAAAGAAATAGGATTTGATCGGAACAATCTTAGCATCATGCACGTTTGATATCGCTGCCACTCCCTAACAATATTTCAGAGCAGATTTTGGTGAAATCCACTCAAACATTAATACAGGAGTAGTTTTCAAAGCTTAACGGTATTGTCTAACTTTCCAATTTGGGGCCCCGCCCTTAGGTTTCTACGTGGTCGAATCAACATTGAGAAATCATTGCCCACTCGCAGTGATGTTTCAGCCCAAATTTAGTCATTCATTCAAGCACTAAAGACGGTTTTCACATTTTTTTTCATTATTTTCGTCGAACTTTGTTCGTTTGTTTGTTTGTATGGTACATTTCGGTCCTGTCAAAAAACCGGGAACATTTTGAGACGGGATCTCCTCTTTAGGAAATGGTGACTCATTCACAGAACAACATTTACGTATATACGGACCGATCTGTTTCTCGGCTTTCCCACACAGACAAAGCATCGCGAGTAGGCAGGGTCGAACAACACATCTCGAATCTTCATGTGGGGGTTATGATACAAAATCTTGTATAAAGGGGCATAACTCGTATAGTATGTGGGGTTGTGTCACTCCAAAGTTAAAATATTTCATTAATAGCAATGATTTGTTGGTATTGAAGAATCAATCATGCGTGACATAGGCCTGATAGGGAGTGCATGTGAAGAGGGAGATACTAGTATTCAGAATGGTTGTAAAGGTGATAACAAGGACTTGGGAAAGGGGACAATTGAAGTTCACCTGTACAGTTGGAATAAAGTTGATACAATAAGTTATTTTTAACAAGAAAAATCTTATTAATCGCAAACGGTGTTTTTTCTATCATTTTTGACACGTCACTAGGGATGCTCCCGGGTCTATAGTTTTATGTCTTAAGTGTACCATCTTTTCTTAAGGTCGTCATGTGGATACATACGTCACATCTGGTTACTTATGGTATTTTTCGGGCCCTGTTATAGTCCTCTTCGTTGGACTCTACGCTTTCACTACTTAAATAAACTACTGCGTGACTTCCGGTAATGGTCGGGAAATCCTCCTTGTGGTTAAACTTGACTTCCTGGTCTTCCCAGAATCGATCTAGTCTGTTTTTGAACTGACCACAGTGTGTGGTAGACTGTTCCACAGGTTTGCCAATCTCACTGCAAAACTCTCCTTTCTGATGTTGATTTTGGGTCTCTGGACAAAGATTCTTTTGGAGTGTCCCTTACCAGATTCCTTGGTGGTGTAGTCCTCCCTAAGTTACTGGTCATAGCTGCCACATAATATCTTGTAAGCCTCAATCATATCCCCTCTATGTAGCCTGTATTTGATCGTTGATAGCTTTCTTAGCCTTTCCTCATATGTCAGTTTAGATAACCCTGGAATCTGTCTGGTAACACGTCGTTGCACTCCTAACAAATCCAGGTGACGTATCTTGTATGGGTGCCAAACAGAACTTGCATTGTCAAGATATGTTCGAACCAATGCTTTGTATAGTGAAACAAATGTCTTTTCATCCATGTGGTTAAAAGTTCTACGTAAAAGTGCAAATATTGAGTTGGCTTTTTTAACTTTCGTGCTAATGTGGCTGTCAAATGATAGCTGGTTATCTATCACGACACCAATATCTTTCTCTTCTACTTCCTCTAGATCCATGCCTCTGAGTTTAAACTTATAGTCCGGGTCTAAATTTTCCATCCCTATATGCAAAAATTTAACAGCTTCATCAGGAAAAATTCCTGAACTTCTGTGCCTTCTGTGATATTATTGTCTGGATAATACTACATATTTAGTATATATATGTCAGAGGCGTAGCAATAATGTATGCTTGTATGCTTAAACATACACTCGAATTCCATTGAGATATATTTGCCCTACTTTTTTAACCTTACTGCGCCCCTAGACCCCCTTAACCGGGGCTTCGCCCTTGGATCCTCTCTTGAAAGCATACATTCCTAAAAATGTTTTGCTACGCCACTGTATGTCCGTGGTATTTCAAATTGACTCCTTCGATGGCGCGGGATCCAATTTTCGGAACTTGCATATTTATGCACGAAATACCATCAACACATTTGGATTACCTCCCTTCAAGTGTAGAAGAGCTTCCAAAACAAATATGGCTTCCCTGGCTGTAAGAGCCTGGTGTGCCAGAAGTTTTCTTCCCAGGCTTATTTCTAGGTAAGAAGCATTTTATGTCGTTTTTCAGCCCAGCCATGCTATTTACTGTGTTCTCTTACTGTATGTATGATCAAGAACACTTTTGATTTATGCTGTTTTTTTAGTAAAACCATATTTCCCCCGATTACAAATGTCGTTTCAAAGTCAAACACAATGGCTTTATCAGTTTTTATCCTGACTTTTAAGCAGATCATTTTGTATTCATCAGACCTCTGTCAGTAAGTCATATCTGTGGTGATGACTTGATCAGGAACATTCTTTCGTTCTATGCACAAGTCATTCATCTTGTGTGTACTCAATGAGTGTCCTAGGAGGAATGAGTGTCGTATGACTATTTCTATATAGTCAGTTGAGGTATTACAACTTGGGAATAGATTGGAATCTGACGTTCTGTCAATAATATGAATCGAGGGAAAATCATTTGGAGAGAGCGTAATATTATAACTTCCAAATTTTATTATGGTAAATAAACACGACAAAGTATTTGGTAACGATAATCTAAATATCTAAAGTTAAGTATCAGGAACTCTTCTACAAGGAATATTGTATTTATTGTGTTCCTAACTAGTCCACCATGTTCTGTTTTTCCTGGCTTATCCTTTTGGACAATCACTGTATGCTACCAAAAACTTGTAAGACATATCCAAGATGATGGATAAAGCTTACACTTTGTCATTTATCAGACAAAATACCATTTAATACAAAAATTGTGTTATATAATTAGTATAGCTAATTAAGCTTTGTAGGATCATATGAAAACATTCGTTTGGAGTGGTGGGCATGGAGCAGACTCTAAGCTGATGTATTTATTGTACATTATATATCTGTAGTACAGAACATACTATATATGTTCATAAGTATGACCATAAAGCACCATATACATGTAGTGAATTTAATATGGTCGTTTTCAGCCGAACTTACTCCGAGAGAGGTGATGGTCTGACTGAAGTTGACTGGACTGAGGAGAAGAATGTCATCACTCCAGCTGAGGAGGCTGAATTACGTATTCTTGTGAAAGAGACTGTAAGTTCATTCATCTAACATGTAGGTATGATGATGGATACCAGCCCTTAGAATTTTATCAGTTTTACATACTTGAACTGGTCTGTCAATAAAATGTACACTGGATGTTAATAGAAAAATATTTAAAGCCTGTATGACTGAAGAATTTAAAAAAAAAATACATAATGCTATCAATATCTGTTATATAATACATGGGCCTGACTTAGATTGTCCTTGTGCATGTCTGCGTATGTTTTGTTCTACCAGAGCGATACAAAGGAGGGTATGTTTTGTGAGTATGGTTACTCATCTGAATTACGCTCATATGCATATATATTCAGGCCTATTCCCTCAATGTATGCAACAAACCTATATCAATTTCTGTAAACTTTGTTGTAGGTTTTGACTTGAACAAGGTGTTAGTCATTCACTGTACATGCCTGTTTGTATAAATTTGAGTCATCGATAAAATACATGTAATTGTTTTCAGTTCATCTTCTGACAGTAGCCATAACTATTTTCATGTTTATTGCAGAGATTTTTTTCAAGCTTCATAGGGCTGGTCAAGAGCAGCATTTCCAATTATAATTTTTTGATATTCAAGCCAGATTCCCAGCCTCTGCAATTTACTCCAGAAAATTTCCTGCCTTTTTTCTTCTGTAAATGAGGCAAAAATCCCCCATCCCAAATCAGGGTGGAAAAAAACCCCTAATACCCAAAGCATCTGAAGTACAAAATGTTTTTATACTGCTTTGGATTTTACTTTTTGCATGAAAGACATCCGTTAAAGGTTTCAGGGCAAATTATTCAAAGTTCTTTTTAGTCCATTGGTATGTGCGAGATATTGATATGATTGCTCAAGAAATTTGATGTATGTTTTTAACTTGGATTCTGATTTGTCAAAACCCATTTTTGTGTTTCAATGAAAATTCTTTCAGGAGGATTTTAAGTGTAGAATACATACCTCTTCTATTTGTTAATGGCTGTGGCTGATGACATTTTCAATCATTGATTGCACTTGTTCCTTTATAGAATTCAAAAGTTTCAAGTTGATAGAAAGAAATAAGTCCTGCAGTTGTATTTAAAGCAATTGTTTTTGAATAAGTTGTGTATATCATTGTCATCTCCTAAGTTTTATAATGGCCTTGTCTGAGCTAGTTAGGAGATGTAGAAATTTATCTTATTAACTATTACGTCATATCATGTGTAAGTGTACAGATTTATAAGTGTTCTCTACTTACGATTGTGTTGTCTCCCTTTGTATAGACGGACATATCACCTATGACAGGTGTACCAGAAGAACACATTACTACAAGGCATGTCAGGATATTCAGTCCAGCTAGAAATGCAATGCAGTCAGGTACTTTCAATACCCATCGTTGGAGGATAGAATTTGACAACAGGGAGAGGTGGGAAAATCCATGCATGGGATGGGTGTCAACGTAAGTACGGTTAAAAGAATGTACTCTCTCAATAGATGTCTCTGTTAGATAGAATTACAGTACCAAATCAAGTTGAGAATAAATAGTTCTGGGCTTCCTGACTTAATAATTGACTTATTTCTGATGGCTGTCTATGACTGATGTTTTCATGACCTTACTTTCCTGTTTCAGAGCGGATCCTCTGTCAAATGTCAACGTAGATTTCACAAGTGCAGAAGATGCTGCTACTTTCTGTGAGAAAAATGGTGAGGGTTTTTAAATGTTGCCTCTCCCTTCACAACAGCTAATATTTTCCCTGATTGGTTATAGTTCTTTATGATGGAAACACAGTATTTGTTTTCTAATGTACATTCGTCGGCCTGTCCCAGTCATCGTTTGAACAATCTCTTCATTTTAACTGTGACATATACATGAATCTCAGTGAAACATGTCTGTACTTTATGCCAATATGGAGTTGCTTACCACTTGTATATGTCCACCATCATCAGAATATAAGCTGTCTAAATAACCTTGTGTCATTGGTCCAGAATCTGTCATAGGTCCATCTATCCTTAAACAAGTCTTGTTATCTCTATTTCTTCAGTAGCACTGGAGAGATCTTTTTCAAATTTCAGATGTAGGTTTCCCTCAGTCCCTTATTGCCCTCAGTTCCTCATTGTCCTCAGTCCCTAATTGTCCTCAGTCTCAAATTGTGCCCTTTTGATTTTGGGACTGATCAGAAAAACAATATGGCTGACAGGTGGCCACCTTGGATTTTGACAATGAAAGTTTGTTATTGCAATTTGTGGAAAGTACTGGATAGATCTCTGTAAAGTTTTATATGTAAGCTCCCCTTGGTCCGGTCGTTATGCCCTTTTGATTTTGGGAACGATTAGAGAAACAAAATGGGCAACAGGTGACCTTCTTTTTAAAGACGATTAAAGATTACTATCACTTTTTCTTTAGAGGAACTTTAGAATGTCATATAATTCATGGCAAAGATGGAGGAAATAACAGAAATAAGGGAAAAGATCAACTTCTATAGAATAGATAAGACCAGGCAGTGTTGGACTCCATGGTCTGTCTGAGATGTCTTTATTTCAGACTCGTCGTACTGTACAGATAAGATTTGATATCAAAATTGATCTTTGTGTTTCAGACTAACCAGACCCCTATAGATAGGATTTTATCATTGAAATTGCTGTTTTTATATTGCAGGTTGGTCATACTCTATAGAACAGAGGCAAGTTCCTACCTTTAAGCTTAAATCATATGGAGCTAATTTTAGCTGGAATAAGAAAACAAGGGTATCAACAAAGTAGAACTTATTAAATTGTATTTGACTGGTTTTGTGAAAATGGGAGTTAACGGTCAACACAATAGAAGAATGACTTCCTCTCTTCTCTGAGTGTTTGTAAATAAAGTTGACAAGATATTCACCATTTAGTCTGGTTTATTGTGTTGTCTTTTTTCATGGTTCTTCAATTTTAACCATAAGTTGTTTTATATTCTGAAAAAGTGTGTATCTATACTTTTTATTATGATCAAAAATATTGATGTAAGGTAAGATGCACTGATGTTGAGTTGAGACATATACCCCCATCATAGGTACATGTGTATTGGTGATATTAATACTACACTTTTACACAAGAACATTACTCAATAAATAACGGGTGCGTAATTTTGGTTATTGATCTTATCGGTAATGACCCTCTCTATGAAGTTTTAAGTATCTGTTGGAAATTCTGCAGATATCGACTGGAAACTGTTCAGGTAACAGAAATAAGGGGCCATAACTGTGTGTTACTGCCCGAAAGTTGCGGTTCTCCAACTCGTCCTAACTATAATGGTAATTAACCTCCCTATGAAGTTTGAAGTTGATCCTTGATAACTTATGGAGATGTCAAGCAGACTCTGTATTGTTGTTTGAATAAAAAGTCATAAATCTGAGTTACAGTTGGAAATATGCGGTCATCAACCTTGTCGGTGCTGTCATGGTAATGAACCTTAATATAAAGTTCGATGTGGATCCGTTGTAAACTGCTTGCGATATCAAATGGACACTTTCCCTAATTAAATAAGGGGCCATTACAACTTGGTTCCTGAATATTTCATGCCTATTCATAGTAGACTACAGGTATTAAAATCAAGGGACATAACTCTCACACTTCAGCTATTTACAATTTCATAACACTTATCGTTATCGCGACATTTAGAAGACACGCATCCATAAGTCACAATATGAACAGTGTTAATGATAACATTACTGATTCAAGTACATGTAACATAGATGAAATATATAAAGAACAAACTCTGGAATAATGTTGAACTAAATACGTGTACAAATTTCCTTATATATAAATTATAATATAAATAACACTTATATCGATTACGTACTTGCCCTATAAATTTGTAAAGAGATTTTTCTAGGTTCCCTACAGTTGCCATATATCTGTCATTTCCTTTCTTCTACATTTTCTCAAATTATTCATTCAGTCCTGTGTCTAAAACCTTTCTAAGACGCGATATTTTCTCTTCGAAATCTAACTTTATTCTGATGACGAAGAACCTAGCACCTACACCAAAACATGCTTGATTTTCCCTGCAGATTGAATCCGACCAATCGAAATCGTAATGTCAGGTCTACTGGGCATGTCTCATATCAAAGTACTAGAACAAGTCTATAAATCAATACAGTCCACTTATTTCACTTACATAATTTAAATACAACAAAGTTACAAATAGTTTTCCCAACAAGAACATGATTCTATTGAACTGAACACAATAATTCATCACTAAATCACATAAGTATCTTACCGATATCAAACACTTTAAAAAGTACAAAATTAGATAAATAACATCAGTCTGACCCAGGTCAGTAATAGTCAGGACATGTCCTAATAACATATATATATATATATATATATATATACGCTGTTTAGGTAATTGAATAACATAGTCGAAAAGAACATGTCACTTGTTAATAACATCAAATTAATGAGTGAACCCTGTTTTGTAATTGAATAATGGACCATAACTCCGTAAATATTGGATAAAAAATTGTGGTTACCGATCACAGTCATTTTATTAACCTTTATACAGAGTTTGATACGTTGATAACTACTTGCAATATCGAGCGGGCAATTAAATTTTTAATTAACCTTTTCTGCAAAGTTTGTAGTTGATCCATTGAAAACCATCGAAACAAAATAAAGCAGAGTTTAAAAGGTTTGCCAAATATCAGTCTGCTTTACGTTGTATTTGAAAATTTTTATGCTGTTACCTAAAATTATCGCTTACAGAAATGTTTTTATACACCAAATAAGAAAAAAAAATCTAGAGGTGTACATGGGAATTATTTTATGGAAATGAGGTTATTCAATCCAAGCATTATTTGCGTCCAGTCGGGAAAATCGGCGAATTTTAATATGTAGTGACTAGAAACCATTGCTCTGGTTGATCAAATCTACCTAAGATAATACTGCAGTGATGAATTAAGTTTTTATCAAATTAATGGATTCTTTTATTTCACTGGCAAAAATCTGATAAGCTTTCTTAAATATGACAGGAATCTCGAGAAAACTGCCGAAATGATAAACAATGAAAATCCTGAAGTCCAAGACCAAGTGTGAATTGGAGTAAGATTTGTTTGAATTTAGTGGCATAAATGGAAAATCTGGAGGTATGTTTAATAAAAATTAATAGTTGTTTTGACAAATAAATCTAGGAGATAATGTTTGTTCCGTGTTGCCCTATTGGTATGTTTTTTTCATAGAAGTCAGAGGGTAGCAGCAGCTTTATTTCTTTATTGAAAATTTCCTATAGAAAGGTATTTATGGCGATGACATGTTTACGACGGTCTGTTTTCTTTCTTGTTGAAAAGTTTGAGGAATGTCAAGACTTGTGCCAGGTCCAATATTCAAATTGAGTTACCTCCCCTACTCCTATCGTCCCACATCACAACACTACATCGCTCATTGATTCTTGCTTTCAGAATGAAAAAAAAACACTGACACAGTGCACATCAAAAAATGGGAATAGGTTAAAACTACTTCTGTTCTCACTTCCACCAAAGAATCGAGAAAATTACTCTTATCGCTAATTAAGCTAACCATGCTTTACTAGCATCAGCCGCATACCGCCAGCAAAAGCTCGATTCAAACCCCCGTGTCGACTTCTAACCTCTGTCATTTAGTCTAACCAAAGTTCGACTTGAACTCAAACAGTTTATAGTGCTGTAAGAAACTTAGTTCCACCTTCCACACACCTTGTAATGACAATCTACGTAAGCAACAACTCCGAGGCAGCAAATGTACGTAATATTTGAAGTGTGCGGTAGTTAAAACTAACAAACACGTACTTGGGTGTGACGTCGTTGAGACGTACGAAGCGTCAGCGTCGCTGTGATAGATTGGAGACCGATCAATGATGCGGATCGATCACATACGTCATCGATTAACCTGTACATGTCCTACAATAAATTTACTAAGCTGATGTACATTGATATCCAAACAAAAGTACTGTTGAGGTGGCATTTAACTGCAGCATTTAACACATGAAACATCCAAGATATAGTGAGATTTTCCTCCCAGATATAGTGGGATTTTCCTCCCAGATATAGTGGGATTTTCCTCCCAGATATAGTGAGATTTTCCTCCTAGATGTAGTGAGATTTTCCTCCCAGATATAGTGGGATTTTCCTCCCAGATATAGTGTGATTTTCCTCCCAGATATAGTGAGATTTTCCTCCCAGACATCATGGGATTCTTCTCCCAGACGTAGCGGGATTCTTCTCTCAGACGTAGTGGGATTCTTCTCCCAGACGTAGTGGGATTCTTCTCCCAGACGTGGTGGGATTCTTCTCCCAGACGTGGTGGGATTCTTCTTTCAGACGTAGTGGGATTCTTCTCCCAGACGTAGTGGGATTCTTCTCTCAGACGTAGCGGGATTCTTCTCCCAGACGTGGTGGGATTCTTCTCCCAGACGTGGTGGGATTCTTCTCTCAGACGTAGTGGGATTCTTCTCCCAGACGTAGTGGGATTCTTCTCCCAGACGTAGTGGGATTCTTCTCCCAGACGTAGTGGGATTCTTCTCCCAGACGTAGTGGGATTCTTCTCCCAGACGTGGTGGGATTGTTCTCCCAGACGTAGTGGGATTCTTCTCCCAGACGTGGTGGGATTGTTCTCCCAGACATCTTGGTATTCTCCTGTTGTTCTCTTCCGAGACCCTGTGGAATCCTCCCTGATTACGTACGTGCCCCTCCCTGATTACGTACGTGTCCCTCCCTGATTACGTACGTGTCCCTCCCTGATTACGTACGTGCCCCTCCCTGATTACGTACGTGTCCCTCCCTGATTACGTACGTGTCCCTCCCTGATTACGTACGTGCCCCTCCCTGATTACGTACGTGCCCCTCCCTGATTACGTACGTGTCCGTCCCTGATTACGTACGTGTCCCTCCCTGATTACGTACGTGCCCCTCCCTGATTACGTACGTGCCCCTCCCTGATTACGTACGTGCCCCTCCCTGATTACGTACGTGCCCCTCCCTGATTACGTACGTGTCCCTCCCTGATTACGTACGTGCCCCTCCCTGATTACGTACGTGCCCCTCCCTGATTACGTACGTGCCCCTCCCTGATTACGTACGTGACCCTCCCTGATTACGTACGTGCCCCTTCCTGATTACGTACGTGACCCTCCCTGATTACGTACGTGCCCCTCCCTGATTACGTACGTGCCCCTCCCTGATTACGTACGTGCCCCTCCCTGATTACGTACGTGCCCCTCCCTGATTACGTACGTGCCCCTCCCTGATTACGTACGTGCCCCTCCCTGATTACGTACGTGTCCCTCCCTGATTACGTACCTGCCCCTCCCTGATTACGTACGTGCCCCTCCCTGATTACGTAGGTGTCCCTCCCTGATTACGTACGTGCCCCTTCCTGATTACGTACGTGCCCCTCCCTGATTACGTACGTGTCCCTCCCTGATTGATTACGTGCCCCTCCCTGATTATGCGGTACGTGCCCCTCCCTGATTACGATTACGTACGTGCCCCTCCCTGATTACGATTACGTACCTGCCCCTCCCTGATTACGTACGTGCCCCTCCCTGATTACGTACGTGCCCCTCCCTGATTACGTACGTGCCCCTCCCTGATTACCGTCCCTCCCTGATTACGTACGTGCCCCTCCTGATTGATTACGTACGTGCCCCTCCCTGATTACGTACGTGCCCCTCCCTGATTACGTACGTGCCCCTCCCTGATTACGTACGTGCCCCTCCCTGATTACGTACGTGCCCCTCCCTGATTCCGTACGTATCCCTCCCTGATTACGTACGTGTCCCTCCCTGATTACGTACGTGCCCCTTCCTGATTACGTACGTGCCCCTCCCTGATTACGTACGTGTCCCTCCCTGATTACGTACGTGCCCCTCCCTGA